GGGGGGTGTCGCTGCTTCTCCCTGGCCAGCCCTGACCCGCTCTCTCTCGCAGGGCCCATCTCCACGGTGGTGGCTGCAGCCCCCTCCGACGGGCCCCTGTCAAACGGGGTCTATGTGCCCCCCAGCGTGGCCAACGGAGATGTCAAACCCGTGGTCTCCACCACTCCCCTGGTAGACTTCCTGATGCAGCTGGAGGACTATACCCCCACGGTACGGGGCTGGGGGCTAGGACTCCTGGGTTCCACCCCTGCCTCGGGGGGCTGGGATCCAGGACTCCTGGGGTCTAGTCTCAGTGCTGGGTGGTGGGTCTGGGGAATTAGGTGTTTGAGCCTTGTTAGTGCCACTGTGTGAGTGGTTTGGGGTAAGGGCTTTACTCTTGGGGTGGGGGGTAGCTAAAAGTTTGTCCCCTTTAATACTTTCCCTTCTTCCCAGATCCCAGATGCTGTCACAGGCTACTACCTCAACAGAGCTGGATTTGAGGCCTCTGATCCACGCATGTAAGTGATGCATGGTACTATTAGCACAATCCCCAACCACCCTGAGTAGGAGACCCCCTCTGTCAGGTCTTTGTGCTGTGGGGTCCAGCAGGCACTCCTCAGCCCTGGCCGCCCACACTCAGTGTTCTGTCTCAGGCTGCTCCGTTGCTTTCTCTGACTGCAGCATTCGTCTCATCTCACTGGCTGCCCAGAAGTTTATTTCGGACATTGCTAATGATGCCCTGCAACACTGCAAGATGAAGGGCACAGCTTCCGGCAGCTCCCGCAACAAGAGTAAGGTGAGGGTCTGCCCTGGGAAGAGGCTGTGAGGGGACAGCCAGCAGGGCTGGGTAAGACCCTGTTCCTCTGGCTTGGGCACAAGGCCCTCCCACAGTGGTGGCCAAATGAAATTCAACATGGTTAAATGCAGAGTAAAGCCACTGGAGAACTGTGAACTCCTCGTACACCTCACAGGGTTTAAATGAACTGTATTGGCTCAGGGAAGGGAGCTGGGTGTCAGTGCGGGCAGTGGAGACCTCCGCGTAGTGCACAACTGCAGGCAAAACAAGCAAACCATGTTTAGTAGTATAAGGAATAGGATGGAGAATATTCTAATGCCTTTGAAACAAGCAGCGATGTGGCCCTAGCTGGATGCTGCAGGATTGGTCCCGTCTCTCACAGGGTAGGGCAGAACTAGAGGGGCTCAGACAAGGGCACCAGGAATGGGCAAGGGCCTGGAAAAACTCTTCTTTGTAGTATGCAGTGTTGGTCCCAGGATATTAGAGAGACAAGGTGGGTGAGGTAAGGTCTTTTATTGGACCAACTCCTGTTGATGAGAGAGTTGAGCTTCCACAGAGCTGCTCTTCAGGTTTGGGAAATCCAAGCCAAGCAAAGCTTGTATTTAGCCGTGACACCTGGAGTTAATGTTGGATGGCTGTCCTCAGGCTGGTTTGGATTTCTTGCATGATTTCCAGGTAACTTTCCTGACGGACTTTCTTCCAGTGTATGGGAGCACGTGGTGATTTCTTATTGGAGCGTGTGGTTCCTTAGCCTTTCTGAAGTCCGGCTCCAGAGGGGTCTAGCCACTGAGATCTCTGGGGAGGATGTGCTGTTTCTCGTGTTTGCTCAGGAAGTAGAGGTCGCTGTTGAGCTCTGTGTAAGGTGGACAACTTGTCTCTGTCTCCAACATAAGGTGGTCCAATAAAAGTGATTCCCTCCCCCACCTCGTCTCTTCAAGGGGAAGGCGCCTGGCAGCAGCTCCCCTGCTGTTGCTGACCCCCTGCCTCCTGTCCCTACAGGATAAGAAGTACACACTGACCATGGAGGACCTGATGCCAGCGCTTGCAGAGTACGGCATCAATGTGAAGAAGCCACACTATTTCACCTAGTGCCTGAGCTGGGCCTGCAGCCATGCCTGGGGCCTGGCCCCTCGGGTGAAGGGCGGGAGCTCTTCTCTGGTCTGTTATTAAACAGTTGATGTTGGCTGGTGGTTTGTGTGCTAATGCCCTGCCCTGGCCCAGGGTGCAGGGGCTGGTGGTGGTGGGACAGCCCCTCAGGCTCTGCTCTGGGAATGGAGAATGTGCATTTGCACAGGTGCTGTATGTCAATGCACATCCCCACATGCTTGTGGGGGGAGGGTAGCAGGCTGGAGAACTCCCCCCTTTTGGGTTCTGTGTCTAACACTTGCTGGGGTTTGGGGGCAGCAGGTAGGTGTTCAGCTCGGGGGGCCTAGGGCTGGGACTGGGAGGTGGGTGCACTTGACCTCTGGATCCTACAGACGGTGCTGCTGTTGCATGGGCCCTGCAGGCCAAATGGCTGAACCTTGGGGGCTCCCCATGCCCTGCTCTGAGGCCCTTCATTGCCTGTGCCGGGTATGTGGAATGAGGGGCTGGCCCCACCCCATAGTGGGGAGAGGGATGTGCCAGCTGTGTGCGCATGGCTACGTGCTCCCACCTGGTCCCACAGGGGTAAGCAGTGCTCTAGGATCAACGTGCAGCAAGAACTCAGCTCCTCCTTAAAACTCCTGCAACTCCCTCTGAGTTCCTAGGCTGGGGAGGGATCACAGGCCAGGGACACTGCGCTAGGGGGCCACAGCAGGGAGAGCCCTGTGCCCCAGAGGACAGCTGGAGGATTTGTGCCCCCCCCCAGCCAAGGCCAGACAGGCTCATTGTGATCATCGAGCCTGACCCCCCTCTCTAACAGGCCAGAGCCTTGTGCCCCAAGAACTCCTAGAGCTTCTCTTTGGGGACAGCGTTGTTGTGGGGTGAGTCACACGGGGCCAGTTTTCATAACAAATGTTTATTTCAGATGCTGGCAGCTCTTCCACGTGGCCTGGCTGGAAATTACTTAAAAAGGTGAAGCACAAAGCCAGAGCAGCACGAGGTGCAGGCAGACAAGTGAGGCCCTGTCCGGGGGGGAGGGCACTGGGATGAGGGTAATTTATATATAATATAAAGAGGGGTGGGGTGTCGTTCTGTGCCCGTGAGAGTGAGGAGAGGCATAAGGTGCTGGGTGGCTCAGAGGCCTGACCCTAGCCCCGTGACTAGTAGCCACCCTCACCCCTTAGCAGGTGCTGGCTCAGGCCAGGCCCCAGGGCCGCCAGCCTGTACCCACAGCTGGGGGGGAGGATGGAGGTGGCTGCTGTGCAGTGGGTTCTGGGAGCCTCAGGGTTGGTGGCTGGAGCAGGAAGCTTGCAGGGCGGCTCCAGGGGAGACAGCACCATCCGTACCATGTGTCTGTGGCCGGCTCAGGTTGCGGGGTCTGGGAAAGCACCGGCACCGCCTGCTGGGAAGGGCGGGGCACCTCCTGAAGGCACTTGGAGGGGGCGGGGGCAGCTTGGCAGCAGCAAGCAGCAGGGGGGCTGGCCCCTATTTCTCCTGCATCTTCTCCAGGATGGGGACGATCATGTCGAACTTGGGCCGTTTCGCAGGGTCCTCATTCATACAGATCTTCATCAGCTTGCAGATGTGCGGGGAGATGCCAGGCGGGATGGTTGGGCGTAGCCCCTCCAGTGCCACCTGGGGGCAAGCAGGATGAGAGCTGGGGACAGGTATGCACCAGGGCCAAAGCCCCCCCCCCGCCGCTGGATCCTTCCCACCCACTCCCTGGGGGTGACCCCAGCCTCTCCAGTGAGCTGCGGGGGGCTGGGCCCTGCCTCCCCACTCACCTTCATGCCGATCTCCATGTTGGACAGGTCTGCGAAGGGCACCTCGCGTGTCACCAGCTCCCACAGCAGCACCGCAAAGCTCCACATGTCGGCCGAGCGCCGGTTGATTTCCTCTGGCTTCTTCTGCAGTGCTGCAGGGAAGCCAGCGGGGGAGCTGTGAGCATAGTGGGGGGAGGGGTCAGGGAGAGCGCACCCCAGCAAGGGGCATCCAGCCACTAGGCCGGGAGGGACTAGGAGGTAGCAGCCCCTCTTGGGATGGGTAGAGCTGTAACACCCCCGGGTTCCTGGCACTCACCCTCAGGTGCCACCCAGGCTGGGGCATACATCCTGCCTGGGCACTGGAAGGAGAACTTCACGTCAGCCATGCTGATACGCGCTGTCATGTCCTCGTCGATCTGCGGGGAGAGAGGCGGTCAGCCAGTAGCCTGGCCCCCTGGAGCGCTGAGAGCCCCATCCCCCTGCACTCACCATGATGCTGCGGCTGTTGAGATTGTGGCGTGGGATGAGGGGCTCCAGTGTGTGCAGGAAGGCCATGCCCCGGGCGATGTCCAGGGCAAACTTCACTGCTTGCATCTGATCCACCACAAAGTCTGCAGGGAGACGGTGAGCATCAGTGCTGGGGGGTGGGACGTGGGGCTGGACGGACGGACGGACAAGGGGAGCAGAACGTGGGGCTAGCGCCGGGGGAACGGAGAGACTAGGGGAGCAGGATGCAGGGCTGCTGCCAGGGGTATGGACGGATGAGGGGAGTGGGGCTGGTGTGGGGGCCAGACGGATGAGGGAAGCGGGGCCGCTACCAGCACTGGTGGGGAGAGATAGAGGGATGAGGGGACGTGGGGCCAGGGACGGATAGAGGGATGAGGGGAGCAGAACGCGGGGCTGGGGATGGCCGGATGAGGGGGGTGGGAGGGGCGGATGCGGGACTGAGGCCGGCACTGGGGGAGGTGGCGAATGGGACAGGGGTGTCTGTGCTGTGTGTGTAGAACACAGGCTGAGAGGTGCCAGAGGTTGGGACTGGATAAGGCAATTGCGGGGGGGGGCCGCCCCCCCCCCCCCCCCCCCCCCCGAGTGCTGAAGGCCAGGTAGGACAGGCCCCAGGGGTGAATTCTGGGCCAGTTCTAGTACCAGAGATGTTGTGGCGTGTACCCCCCACCCCCCCCGGAGTGGTTTTCCTTGGCCTAGTAGTGCGTGGCACGTCCCCTGCCCTGACACTCACTCGTCCCCTCGTGTAAGACGTTGTAGAGGGAGCCGTAGGGCATCCAGTGCGTGATGATGATGGGGTGCGGGGCGGGGGGCGACTGGCAGGCCCCCAGCACTGGCAGAACATTGGGGTGTGAGAAGATCCTGGAAGAGAGAGGAGTGTGAGAACAGTGGGCTCCCCGCCCCTGCCAGCCCCAGCTCCCCAGCACCTACCGGAGCTTGGGATGCTCCTCGTTGAAGTCTCGGCTTTTCCGCGTTGTCCAGTCCCGAATTTTCATCACTTTGATAACGATGTCGTTGCCCTGCCAGCGCCCCTTCCACAGCTGCAAGGAGACAGAACAGAGTCAGCCGGGGGCGGGGCGGAACCGGGAACAGGGTCAACTGGGGTGTCAATCAGGGATGGGGGGAGCCGGGGACAGGGCAGGGGCAGGGGACGGGGTTAGCTGGGCACAAAGGCTGGGGTGAGCTGGGAGGGACACAGCCTGACTGGTAGGTACTTACGTGCCCCCCACTGGCAGTGGCCATGCCCCTCATTTGTTAATGGAGTCTCCACTCCCCCCAGGGAGGCAGGGAAGGGCTCCTACCCCATGGCCCAGAGGGGAGCTGGGCAATGAGACTCTGAGGGCTGGTCCCAGGCCCCACAGCATCCGGGACCTGCGCAGCGAGCAGCCCCACTGTGGCGCTGGCCCCCTCCCCTTGGCCAGGCCCGCCTGCTGTGGCTGCCTGGAGAGGCTCCTACCCCCCGGGGCCTGCCACGGATGCCCCCCCACCCACCTCTCCTGACTGGTTCTCGTTGAGTTTGTGGCCCAGGCTCAGCTGCTTGAAGTCTATGCCGGCCAGTTTGTTCAGGGTCCCGTTTCCTGCCATGAGAAAGGGAGACACTGTCACACCCCAGGGACCCCTGCACGCACCCCTCCCCCTGCCATTCTCTGCACCAAGAAGAGCAGGGGGGCTGGGCACTGAGGGATCCCCACATTAAGTCTCCCCCACCCTGGGGCTCCCTCCCCATGGAGAGACTTTGCCCTCCTCCCCCCTACACAAACCCACTGGAGGTGCCCCAAGCCGCCTCCTGGGGGACACCCACACGTTCCTCCCCCCTCCCAGCCAGGGCCCGAGTCCTTACGGGGCCGCGTGCGGGTGGTGCCCTTCCAGAAGGTGTCCTTGTAGGGGATCTTGGTCAGGCTCTGGCCCAGCTTCTCTGCACGCTCTGGGGAGATGGAGACATTGAGCACTAGGGGGCTGGGGTGGCGCAGGCCGGAGCAGCCAGAACTGAACCTGAGGGCTCTTGTGACCACTGGGCCGGTAATTTCTGCCTGATGGGGAACTAACTTCAGAAAATCGGTCAAGTAGTTTTCCTACGGACGGTTAAACCAGATGCAAGAGCAGCACCCAGTCTGCACTGGGCCGGCCAAAGGCCTAGCTGACATGGCTCAAGGGCTGTGAGGTGCACTTAACATGTGGGAATGACGCTCCCTACGTCAAGTCTGGCCGCACAGAGGTGGGTTTAATTGGTGAACGAAATCATGAGCTGAACTATGCTGGCCCTTTGCCATCTTCCTGTTTGGGGTACGGAAAAATTCTCAGCTCCTTGTTCCTGCCCGCAGGGTCTCTCCGAGGCAGGCCAGCCCGCAGGGTCTCTCCGAGGCACGTAAGAGCCGTTCTGTCTCCCTGCCTTGTGTTACTTTCTGCCCCCCTCTTCCTTCCCCTATTCCCTCTCTTGCTTTTCACAGAATCCTGAAATCAACTGTACGGCACACATCAGCCCAGGGAGATGCGACAGCCCGCCAGCCCTGCCCTGTCTGAGCAGAAATGACCCAGCGGGGTGACATTCCTCACAGGAGCCAGGGTCCAGAGCTACATGGGTTGTAGTCAGGAGCCACTTCCTCATTGTTCCATTGTCCTACTGGTCTTATGGATGCCTCGGGAGGTCATGGACACTCCTTGGCTGGAGGTTTCCAAAGGAGGCTGGAGCCAGCTGTCTGGGATAGCTTAGACCCAACAAATCCTGCATCATGGCAGGGGTCAGACCAGCTGACCCTAGTGGGCCCTTCTAACCTGCCATCCCAAAGCATTCAACAGCCGCCCAGTGTTCCACGAACCCCAATGAAAGCCCCCA